ATTTTGTTTTCATACTTATTAACTGGTTATTTAATTAAAATAACAAACATTTAATATTACTATTAAATTTATTAGTATTTAATTTTCAAATTCATTTTTCATGATAATTTCATGCTAAAACTATCTAGATAAGACTATAGCTTTATGTAAATTTAAAAATTGAATATTTTTTGTTCTGTTTAATGATTTGTCAGCGTCATGAGATAGTATCATGTAAATGTTACTTCAAATATCATTATTATTTAAATAAAATATGTTTATTATTTGACTGACTGACCAACACCATGTGTCATAAGCTACAGTACAAAGTCCAGCAAGTGCCGCACGGCCGACGACGTCCCGCCTCAAATGATACGGGAGTGTTCTTTCCGTTGTCCAAGTGACGACGTCAACAAACCAATCCTCACCCGCGCACCGTCGCCTACAACGCTGCTAACCTTCTGTCACTCAAGGATCACGACGACAGGACAGCGCGTTGTCCACACCAGCGAAAGTGCCGCCATATTATGCGAAAATTATTATTATTGTGTTTATCTTATCGGTTTGTTTTATTTTCTGTTAAAATAACTTGTTGTCGCTCATTTAATAAACGGCCCACGGGTCTCTACCCTAAAAACCAGTGTCGACCACATTTTTGCGACGTAAGTCGTGTCAAGAACTATAATAATTTTCAATACACTAGCACAGTAGGATCATGATACAGTATAGATATGGAATATAAGGGACAAGTATAGATAATATCAGACAGAGATTAAAATCACTTTCATAAGAAATGTTTTGAAACAAATCTGAACAGACTAGTGTGTAGATATTACTTTATTAACACATTCTCATATTAATAAAAAACACACAAATACTATCTATTGCTGAACATTTTATTTTTTAACTCATTCATGTAATTATTATTTTATATAACAGGAAATATTTTTTATTAATATTTAACAAAATCTTTTATGGTNTAATTATTATTTTTATTATTATTTAACAAATTTGGTACAAAAAATAACTTTTACATTTATTGATTATTATTACCAAAAAAGTTTTGATAAATTCCATCCAAATGAGCCATAAAAATGTTAGTTTCAGTAATGTATTTTTGAGTTTTTATAAAGGCAAAACATAGTTTTTACATAATAAAGCAAATACGTCTGTTTAGAACTACTGCACTTGCATGTTATCACCTAAATCACTCAATAAGGAATATGTTCCAAAATTTATTAATAATTATTCCTATTTTCCAAACAAAAATTGATTATATTAAAAGAACAAATTTTTCGTATACTGCTGATAAAAATTTCAAAGAATATTAATGTTATTTAAAATAATTTCATTTTTAAAGATGTAAATGGCTATTGTATGTTTTTCGACTTTTCTATTTGTTTCTTCACGTTGGTGGTTGACCACTACTCTTAATAATATAGTCTCATTGGGCTTTTAGTGAGTTGAAAAATGAAATAATTAGCCATCCAAAGTTAATTTATTCTAAAAACTCTAATGACAGGAATGCAGTTTAAACTACTTTTTCTAAAATAAATACCATTAAAAAAAACAATCATTCATTATCTAAACTTAAAATATAATACATTTTCTATTTTTTATGTTTTATTGGTATACTAATATTTATTCAAGGTGTAAATAAAATATAAAATAACAAATAAAAAACTATTTTTGAACATTATATTTTTTGACTCATTGATATAATTATTATTTTATATAACAGGAAATATTTTTAATTATTATATTTATTATTATTTAACGAATTTAGAACAAAAAAATACCTTTTACAATTATTGATTATTATTATTATTATTTCCAAAAATGTTTTGATAAATTATATCGAAATGAGCAATAAAATTGTTAGTTTCAGTAAAGTAATATTGAGTTTTTTGCACTAAAATATCGTACTTAGTATCTTTTGAAATTTTTCCCAAATGTTTATCTAACAATTCATTGATATAACTTGAAGTTGGTATAGTATTATTGTCTTCATAAACACAAAATGTTGTCATATACATCATTGCATTTGTTAATAATGGTTGTAATACATTATTAATGTAATACTGTATGCCAACCTGTTCTATGGGACCTGAATTAAATGGATTGTTTAGAAATAAATATGAAGTATTTGGAAAGTTATATCCTCTAGAACCAAGTTGACTAACAAAATGATTTCCAATTTGTATAGAATTTACCAATTCTACTAATTGTTTAATAATTTTGTTAAGAGTTTTTATTCTATTATAATCTATAAACATTTTACATTCTTCCAGCAGGTAATAAATATAATGAGTAATAGCGGTTATTTTTTCCGCATACTTACAGTAAACAATAACTGGTAAATGATCTTGAAAAAGTTCAAGGAATTGTTGTGCTTTAGGATTCTTACAGCGGTCTGCTGCTTTAATTGCTCGCTCTTTTAAGTCTACGAAAGATATAAAATTCCCTCCATTAAATTGAACACTGACACCATTAAGTTGACGACTAGCCGCAGAGTAAACAAAATTCTGAAGAATATCATGCATTGTTATTACACTTGAAACTTTCTGAGTATAATATAAAATGTTCAACACCAAATAAAGGCAACTTGTAGTTGCAATCATCATTTTTAAATTTTTTTTACAAAATTTAAAAGATGTAAACTAAAAAAATGTATTTAAAAGCTGCTTAAATATTCGTATTTAAGTCATAAAATAACAGGCCCTTTATTTGTATATTTAAAAATAAAATGTGTACACATTTAAACAAAAAGATTATAATTGTTAATATCTTTATTTTTGTACATATATTTTTAAATATTTGTCTCAATTCAATTTTTTCAAATTTGTATACATAAATACATAGGAAACTAGTGAAGATTGAAGTAATGTAATAATTTAAATCATTTATGTTCTCAGAATATTGCCTGGATAGTGTTAAAAAAAATTTATTTTTAATCGCTTAAAACAAATAAATGTATTTTATAGTTCCCGAGTAAACTTCATTATTTAATCTTAAAATTATACATTGATCGATATCAGAATTTCAATAAAATCTTGTTAAATTAATTTTATAACGTTATCCCATTAGGTTAGTGATAGATTATAGATATGGTATAGATTGGACAAGTATAGATGATATCTGACAGAGATTAAAAACACTTTCATAAGAAATGCTTCAATGCAAATCTGTACATTATGGTATATGTTGTGTCGCACCTAGAATGAGACACGATAACTTTTTTGGAGTGAATGTAGTTATATTGTGAGATAAAACTAAAAGGTAGTAGAACAACATATATTTAGACAACGGTTCTTTAATTATAGAAATACAATTATTTATAACTATAACATTAATTGTCTGAAGGTGAAATCACTTATAAGTCATAACACAATATTTTGTACAACGGTTAGATCGTTATTGCTTATATTCCTTATTAGTTGTCAAATACTAATTACTTCCTTACTCCACTACACTAATATCTTAACAATAGGGGTTCGTAACACCCCCGCGTAGAATGAAAACATATTACCCATTTTTAGCTTCGATGCGAAGCTGAGAAAGTATTGGTTTTACTAAGATGTGTTTTTTTTTTTTGTCTGTTACCACTTTTTCTCAGTTCTCACTGAACAGATTTCATTCAACAATACGTCAAAAGATCACAAATTGTATCTCGTCGAAGAAATTACCCTCAAAAATTGAAACAAATTCCCTCGTTCCCCGTAAATGGGGGAAACCTCCAAAAAAATTACAAATTTAAAAAAAACTAATTTTTTTACTTAAAATAGCCATAACTTTATTGAAATTAACCATATCAATATAATGTTTTCTTATATAGACGCATGATATCATTACCTTCCATTTGGTATATTTTTTTTTTAACCCTTTACCTGCCCACAGGGGATGAAAACTTTTTCACAAAGATTTTACTTTTTCAAGTTAAATTTTGAAAGTGTTCCGAAAAGTCTGACACTTTTATATATATCTTACATTAAATCTAATGTTATATACTTTATCATGAAAAAAAAAATTTGGACTTTATTTTATCTTCACGGTGAAAATGGCTACCAAATGCTATTTTTGTGTGAAAATTTTCGATTTTGTATTTTACATTTTTAACTTTATTATGCTATAACTATTTGAAAAATGTATGGATTAATACAATTTTTTCATGAAAAGTAGTATTTATATACATCTTTCATTCAACATACTGTTTTTTTAATTCGGACCATTTTCCAATATACGAGGGGAGTTCAAATCAAAAATATTCATACAGAAAGTAGAACTTTTCAACTTAACTTTTGAAAGTGTTCGGAAATGTTTGATACTTGTATATATATATATCATAAATTAAAGCTAATGTAGTATAATTAATTATGAAAAAAATAAATATCGGACTTTATTAAAAATATTTTATAAACATATTAATATGTTTATCGGACTTTATTAAAAAATCTCTACCACGAGTAACACACTCGTGGTAGAGATTTTTTAACTAATTTTATTTTATACATGTTTCTTAGCATAAAATTAAACCCAACACAACTACATCGTGCATAAATGTACAAATAAAAAAAAATATGGTATAGTTAATTTAGTAATGAACTTAGCTATATTTTTTAAATCGAATTAAACTGAGTTGTATAAAAAAAAAAATGAGACTAAACTTCATGATATTTTTATACATTTTCCTGAATTATTTATTAAATTTTGAATAAAGACCAGGATTTAAATAAGAGAAAAACTTTTTGCATAATTTTTTATTTATTTATTCTTATTTTATTTTCAACATTAAAAAAACTAATTTAAATCACTAATATTCTCGTTTTAATAATATTTTAAAATATTAACGAATTTTAATAATAAATTAATAGTTATATATTCATTAAAAAATTTAAAGGGAATACTTGTTTTATATATTTTTAGAATCAACTTAGGAGCTGATTGCTAGAGTTTTAAAATGTATATATTACATTATATAATTTAAACTTAATACAAATTATTTATTATAAAATTTTTTTCAGGATGGGGTGGGATGCTTTCAAACGGATCAAGTGGTCCGTGATTTTACTAAAATCAAACAATCTAACTTGAAAAGTACGATGTGCTGAAGAGAATTTAATCTCGTCGCCATTGGCCTGCAGACTTTTTGTGGCGACGAAAACTTTATTCAGATCATCATGGTAGGTGGTCACCAGCCCCAAAACTCAAGTGGGCCTATATGCCCTGGCACTATGATGAACATTCTTAACATAGATGCCGAGAATAGGGTGGTGCTCAATGTTGGTGGTATAAGGCATGAAACTTATAAGGCTACTCTCAAAAAAATACCAGCTACTCGATTAAGTCGACTGACCGAAGCTTTAGCCAATTACGACCCAGTCCTCAACGAATACTTCTTTGATAGACATCCTGGTGTATTTGCCCAAGTATTAAACTACTACAGGTGAGTAAATAAATTATATGTTAACAACTTATTTTCTCTATTAATAGTATTATTTATTATTGAAATTATTTTAATTTCTTGTAAAAAATATTTCACAAAAAATTAAAGTTGTAACATAATGACCTTGCACTTTTCTAAATTCAATTTTTTTCATACTAATTCATTAATAAAATTCAGAATGTCATTTTTAGTAACTTGAGGAAATGATTTTGGATTGGCGTTACTATGTATTGATTAAAACAATAGATCTATTAGGAATGAGTATGAGTATTTTATGTGGATAATATAAATGATAGAAAAATGATAAGATCTTTATTTATTTAGTATAAAAATTATTGTTATTATTTCTTTATTATCAATGACACCACAAGTTTCGGCTAGTTGTTAACGGAACTTGGGTCGACTGTATGGACAATCCTAGAAATATTTTGAGTATATTAGAATCCATAGATATGAATCTTAGTTTATTTTGTTGATCTTGGTAATATTATATTTAGATACAAGCAGAGGCCACACAGTAACCCGTATTCAAAGTTTGGATTATGCAGGTTGGCTTCGTACAAACGTTATTGAATTATTTACTTAAGTTAATATTTTATTTTTAATAATAACATGATTTATTTTTGTTCCTAATAAATTTATGTACTAAAAATACTAGACTGTAAACCTTATGTGAATTTATAATCATTAGTATTTACCTTGATTCTTTTCGTGAATATTTTAAAAGAAATATAAGTCGTTTTTCATTATAGAATGTAAATGTGAATGTAATATACTACTTCTTGTATGTACGTTCAATCATTAATCTGTGAGAATAGTCCGAATAGTGAGTGTAGTATGAAATAGTTAAAAGCATTTTTCAGGTCTTTTATAGTGTTCAAAGTTATTAAGCGTGTATTCTTGTAATGTGTAAGAAGTGTAATCGACACTACTATTATCTCTTTATGGATTGATTGTTACAGACAATTTTATGAATTAATTATAATTATTACATTGTTATATACATAATATTATATTATAGCGTACAAATTTAGATAAATATATTATCTCTATTCATTGATTAACAGATAACAATAAAAATAAGAATCACAATTAAGATGTAACATAACACATTATATAGACATTTGAGTTGCACAATATTTTTTGACTTAAATCAGTTAAAAAAAATAATAATTTTGATATTTTACTTGTATTTATAGTGTTTGATTATCTTGTTATACTCTTCAATTTTTTGTTGGATTACGTTTCAAAGAAAAATATTATTGTTGAAACATTCATTAAATGTTTGATGTTATTTAAGATTTAAATAAACATTTTTTACGTCATTTAACATTTATGGAAAAATAATTATGAATGTGTGAAGTATGTCATATACTATGAACTTTTTTAAAACATAAATACATTTTTATGCAATTATAAATTAAGCATTTGTTTCGATTCAATATCATTTTATTTAGAATTCAATGTGATATTGATGAATTCATAGCATTTTTATCAAATTTTCATTTACATTGCGGCCAAAACCTTGTATAAACATTATACTTGTACGTGTTCGTTTTATAAAATTTTAAGCACATGGTCCTTTAACATGCGCTTTCCTTGTTACATAATGTATTTGTTGATTTACGTCTGGAAAAGTAATATGTGAAAATTTTCATTTCTTATTATGGCGATGAATTTCTATTTGCATTACAAATATCATCGTCCAAAATATGTTATGTACTTATCACATTTACGTGCAAGGACTGCTAACTATTGACAAGATATTCTTTCTATACTCATCAATCAAAAACAATTTGATATTTCATTCTCAAAAATTGATTTTTATCAGTAGTTTTATTTTTCTTTGTTAGAAGTAGCACCGCCCATATATACACAACGCATACACATTTTAAACTAATCTCAGTATTTTGTGAGATTTTAATAAGCTTTATTTTGCATATATACGTCGTTTTAATATTTAATCCTATGTGCTAAATATACATTTTTCATTTTTATCTCATTTGTTCGAAACGACTACAAATTTCCAAAAAGTATTAGAAAGAATTTTATTTATTCTTATTCTTTGCTCGCAAGAATGCTGTATGTTTNTAATTATAAAACGGCTTATTCTTTGCTCGCAAGAATGCTGTATGTTTTCTCTGGTATGATTTTATCCTTGAATTCTAAAGCTCATTCTAGCAACACTAGGTAACAACAAGTTTTAGGTAATAACTAACAAAGATNTTAGAAAGAATTTTATTTATTCTTATTCTTTGCTCGCAAGAATGCTGTATGTTTTCTCCGGTATGATTTTATCCTTGAATTCTAAAGCTCATTCTAGCAACACTAGGTAACAACAAGTTTTAGGTAATAACTAACAAAGATTACACGGGCTGCCAATGTAAAAAGTCTCGGGGGAACCGTAAAGAAAGAACAATAAGCGAATGAGTATAAAACGAGCATGTGTTGGACAATAGAGACACATCGTTTTTATATCGGTTTACTACATAAAAACAGCTTAGATTTTGTACTACTATTAGTAACCTAACATTTGCGACAAAAATTGCCGTCTAAAATGTATAAAGCAGAAAGTTATGTGCCCAAGAAAGTTTTACTCATTTCTTTTTTTTCTATAAGCCTAAAATAGGGAAGGACTTTTTATACCAATGTGATAAAATCATGTTTTATACTTTGTTACCTATATAACAGGAAACGCAAAATATATCGGAGAGACACGCCATTAATTTTTTATTTGTCATTAAACCAACCATGCATCGGTAGTCGTTGAACAATACGTATTTTGTATTAATTAGAGTTTTAATATATATAAAATTTTTAATAAATCTAGACGAGCTTGATGTAAATAAATTTTTAAAAATAAAATTTTAAAAAATTGGGTCTTGTACTTTGAGGAAATAGATTTAAGGTTAATGGTTCATTTGATAACCAATTATTTTTCTACAATAACATTTACCAACTTTATTTAAAAAAAAGATAGAAAAAGATTACTAAGTGTATTAACATTTAAAAATACTTATAAAACAATACTAATCCTAGTATATATAAAAAAAGGAAAAATATGACAAAGTTGGAAAAAGTAGTTAATCAGATTTTCAAAACTTTTTACCCGACCTAAGTTATATGGCCTAAAACATTCTGAGGTACCCTGAAATTTTTTTTTGAAATTGGTTGAATATTGACTCAGTTATGAGATTTTTACGGACTAGTTAGGAGCGTGAGATCTGTAGTGTTCTGGTTCTAGGATAGAGCTTCAGCTAAGTGAAGCCTAGTAATAATAATAATAAAATAAATTTATGTTAAATTGTTTAAAAAAAAAAATGATATACTCAATATTTAAAAATTAAATTTTATTAAAAATATTTTAATAAGACTTATAATGTGGATATTATGAAATCTCAAGATTTTTATTTGTTAATTAATTATTTTAGCTACAAACATTATTGTTGATGAAAAATATTAGATATATATATATTCTTTTTTAAGTTAAAGTTTAAATAATAATTAATGATAATTAGTGGTAAACCGTGGGAATTATCTTAAAACTTAGATGATGAACAAAAAATTATTTAGATTTGTTGTTATTGAATAAAATAATGAATTTTAATTTAAATTATGTCATATAATTTGAGGGATAAATTCTATAAAATATATTAAATAGAGTTTACCGTAATTTTGTGAATTTATTAAAGCTAAATAAATACTGTTTTTATTTATAATGTCTCAAAATTAACTGATGTATATATTATATCGACTATACGCATTTTTTAAAGATTAAATAATATTTGGGCCTTACTACATTAATTTTAGAGTTGATATTTGTAAATAATGTTGAATATTTTTAAGTAAATTTGAAATTATAAATTAAACAAAAATGATAACTCTACATTTATTCAATTTTATTTTAAATATTCTAATTCAATATGCTGATTATAATGTAAAAATATTTAAACATTTTAATTTTATTTTATAGCAATAAAATAAATAGTATTCTTCAATAAATTGTAATTATTATAATCGATCATAAGATTATATATATTTTTACGATGATGACTAAAATATAGTAGTAACTTTTTTATTTTTATAATATTCTTCTTTTCATTCGCTTTAATCCCAACTTATTGGGGTCGACCAACCTTATCCTAAACTTCCACTTGACACGATCTTCTACAACATCAATGCTTACATCATTCGTCTTCATATCGAATTCAATAACATACCTCCATCTTTTTTTTGGTCTTCCTCTACCTCTACCTATTATTGCTTCAACGTTCATTTCTATAAATGCTTTTATAGATTTCGATTTTTCTCTCCTCATAACATGGCCAAACCGTCTAAGTCTATTTTCTCTCATCTTATTCACGATTGACGCTACACCTATACTCCCTCTTATATGCTTGTTCTTTATCCTATCTTCTCTTGTCATTCCAGCTTAGCATTCTCATCTCTGCTACACTCATTTTCTGCTCTACTTTCTTGTCAATCATTCAACATACATCATAGCTGGTCTCACAACAGTCTTATAAAACTTACCTTTCAGCCTTTTTTATTTTTATCTTTTATTCAAATTAAAATTTTATATTCATATTATTTTTTGTCAATTAATGATTAAATATGTTGAATATTTTTATGTAACGTTTGTAATATTTATGTTATATATAATTAGTAAATTTTTACGTATAACTTTAAAAGGTTTCGAACATAATTTACTGACAGTAGTAGTTTAAATTAGGGAAGTGATTACTTTTTTCATATATAATTTTTTTTTTTTTAATATAATTTTGAAAGTAGTTTATTTTTGTTTCAATAAGAATTATTTTATGCTATAAATGGAATTCTATTTAACAATATTTAACACATTTCTGTTTTTGCTTTTGGTTTTTTGATTGCGTTTTAATTAGGTCTTTCGTTTTCAATGATAAAATTTTAACATTATACATAACGGTTTCCTATCATAGTTAAAATGTTCACTTTTGTTTTCAGGACAGGTAAACTACATTATCCTACTGATGTGTGCGGGCCTCTATTCGAAGAAGAGTTAGAATTTTGGGGATTAGATGCGAATCAAGTAGAACCTTGTTGTTGGATGACCTATACACAGGTGAATAATTTTTTTAATAAACATTTATTGTGAAAAAATAAAAGAGTATTATATTAAATATATTTTTGGTGGATATTACCATAATTGGAATAATGATCACATTAAGAATGTAAACTTTTAAATGTTATGTGATTTTAGAAAAAAATATGGTTTCTTCATAATAGTTTATTAGCAATTATATCATAAAAAGTTAAATATAATCAACGAAATAACTTTTTATTTCCTAAATAGAGTTTTTTCCTGATATTTTTTTTCCAATATTGTTTGGTAATAAAGTTGACTTAAATCTTTTTAATTAATCTTAATAAGATTTTGATTATAAATAAATTCTTAAGAATTTAAAAGTCTATTATAATTATGTAGCAAAGTTATTCTAATTTTATGTATTAAATTAATTCAATGTGATATTTATTTTTCCACTTCACAAAACGATAAAAAAGTAACAATAAGTTTTTTGTGTATAATGTAAAGAATGACCATTAGCACTCTTGAGTTTTACCTTTTTAAGAAAAACAATAGAAAATAATAAAAAAAACTCTGTCAATCTTAAGTTAAAAAGTTTAACTTTTAAAGTATAATATTTGTTGATTCCTTACCAGCATCACTTTTATGTAGTTACATTGTACTCACTTTTTATTAATATAAAACACGCTTCATTGATTTTACAACAAAATTTAAGTGGATTGAAGAACAAACAATAATTCCAAAAGCTTTCTTTGTACTTTTTACAAGATTTTTTTTTTTAATAATGCAGTTTTGATCCAACCTAATATTTAACTTAAAAATCTGCACATCAAAATAGTGTTAAACTTATGGCATTTGATTGTAATATTATATTTCCAAATATATAAATTTTACAATAAATCCTTTAAATATATTTTGTTTTAAATTTTATTTATTTTAATTTAGTATAATTTAACAATATATAGTTTAGCTCATTAAACCTTTATAAAAAATTGTACTATTTATTACTGACTTATAGTAACCATACTTAATATCTCAAGTTTAGTTAAATTGTTTCTTATGAATGTAAATTAAACTTATATGAAGATATTTTAGTTCAAATTACTTACTATGGATTTTCGTTCTTTTAGAGTAAACGTAAAATTCACTACATTATTACTAATTAAAGAGTTTTAATTATTTACTATCTTTTTGTCTTAAAAATAAGTTTTAAAACTGCCTCGTTTTTTAAAATAAAATCATCCCTAAAAAGTTTCATTTGTATATTTTTTTTTTATTTATAAAAAAATAAAATTCATAATATTGAATTACAAAATTTTACTTCGAGGTTATAATTTTCCTTTTCATAGTCTATTAACTTTATATTTAATTTTACTCTTAAACTCCCATTTATTTACAGAAAATAAAGCAATTATTCAATAAATTATTAGACTAAATTTTGGCGTCATCGTACTATTGCTAACAAATAAATAATAGAAATAAAAATCGAAAACACATATATCAGTTTTAAGTTATAAATCATTTGAAATATTGTTTACAATGTATAACTGAAAACTACCTAAAAAAGCTATTTTTTCAATTTTCGTGGCACTTTAATTCTTTTTATTAATAACTTTTGTTCTGTAATTATAATATAGATCCTAAATATTTGAGAACATGCTTGAGATTCAAAAATGTGGTATTAAGACATTTCTAAGATTAGTATTGATTGGTACCTGAAATTAATTAAAACCAGAGTCGTGAAACACTTTAATACGTATTTGAAACAAATTTAAAAAAATTATATATTCACTAAAAATTACACAACTTTTGGTAATAATATTATAATGCTATAAAAATATCCCATCAACTTTAATTATACGGTTAAAGTTTTAGAGACTTATAATTCATAGAAAAAGGCATCGAAAAGTCTCTCTTTTTAATCGTATGGTACATTAAGTAAGTTATTTGAATTAATTTTAAACAATGATGATATTCTGTTGCTATAAAAAACGCTTCATATTAAACCGTTATTATCGAACATGGTATGATTTTTGACTTTGATACTCAATTATTTTTATAAAATAAGTTTTTTAATCATTTTTCTTTTATCATCTTAAAGTCTATTTATTGGTTTTAGTTTAATGTAGGTTAACCTACATCAAATTTAAATTTAAAGAAGAAAAGTTTTTAGAACAATATCAAAAATTGAAAGAACACTTCAAATATGATTTCTAAATTTCCACAGTGTCTAGGTTAATGAGTGAATTTTCAAAAAAATCATGTCATCAAGGTAAAATGTTGAGGTATTATCAATTAAAATTTTGCAATAGTTTATCTAATATCAAAAAGTTATTTCAATTAAAAGTGAAAACTAAAATATCACTATTTTCTTAATTTTTCCTTAATATATTAAGTTGAAAGTTTAATATTATTGAAATAAAATAAATAGCAGCAAGATGTTTTTCACATTAAAAATGAATTATCATTAAAATAGTTTTAATAAGGTTCATTTTATATAAAATGTATAGAAATAATGGCCATTAGATTTTAACATTACTGAAAAAGTTTTCAAGAAGTCAGGTGTTCTGTTAGATAGTATCGTTCACGTTATTTAGCTGTGTTTTTAGTTAATACTTATTTTACAGTAAAACTTGAAAAAACACATAAAATATGTAAAATCAGTTGGTTCACTTAGTTTTTGCAATTTTCTTTAATAAAAATTTAACCTTTTTTTTTTAGTCAATTCATACCTACTTAAAAAAAAATCATAGTAACTGTAAATTTATAATTTATATGAGGAAATTTCTCAAAAAAACTCAGATTAATATTAAATGAATACGTGACATCTTTTAGTAGAAACTTTGAATTTCATCTTGCAGCATATAGTTATAATTTTCCAAAAAATCTACCAAAATAATACCTTATTATATGATAATGTATCTTTTTTCAGTTTTTAAAATTTGGTTAAATTATAGAAATTAAAGTTCATGTGGTGCCTGTATATAAATTTGATAAATTTTCATAGAGACGAGTGTCTCAAAAGTGGTTCAAACAAATTTTATAAATGCATAAAGTCTGAAACCCTAATAATAAATCATTTAGTATTAAATAAAAAAAAATAATACGGATCCACCATGACGAATTTAAGTCCTATTATGTCAACCATATGCATTATCCTATATTTCCAAAACCTTCACCTAATACCGTTGGGACGATATTAGGTGTGATTTATTAAGCATACTGTCCCCTATTTTTTTTATTAAATAATGATTTTTTTTATAAAAAAATCTATAGATTAGAATTAAATCTTTGCTTTAAATAAAATGTCTTACTAATATTGTATTATTACTTTTTGATTTGTTGTAATTTTTAGTTATAGTCAAGCAAGGTGCGCAATGCAAAATTTTTATCTGTGCGTTATGGTAAAAATAGAACACACAATAAACATTACCTAGCTCTTTCTCTTCTTCTTCATCATCTTCCTAGCCTTAATCCCAACTACTTGGGATCGGCCACCCTTATCCTAAACTTTTCACTTGACACAACCTACCACATCATCTACGTTCACATCACCTGTCCTCATATCACATTCAATAGCATCTCTCTATCTCTTTTTTGTTCTTCCTCTACCTCCTTTTCCTTCAATATTCATTTCTATAACTGTTCTTACAGCTTGTCATTCTACTCTTCTCATACATGATTATAACCAAACCATCCAAGTCTATTTTCTCTCGTCTTATCCACGATTGACGATACACCTATAAGTCTTGTTATATGTTTGTTCCTTATCTAATCTTCTGTAGTCACTCCTCTCATCCATATAAGCATTCTCATCTCTGTTACGCTCATTCTCTGCTCTACTTTCTTATCAACCGGCCAACACTCTGAACCATACATCATAGCTGACCTCACTACAGTCTTGTAGAATTTACTTTTCAGCCTCATTGGAATTCTTTTATCGCATAAAACTCCAGACGCTTCTCTCCGCTTCAACACCCGCACATAAATCTGTATCTTACATCCTCGTCAATACTACCGCTCTTTTGCACAAGTTGTGCGGCTGGTATCAGACACTTTATTCCTTAGGCCTTCTTCGCTTTTAACTGCTTTATTCCCTATCACCTGTTGTCCCCACGTATATCCGAGTTGGGACAATTCGCCTAAGTTTAGTTCAGGACACTACATACTGTTTGAAAAATAAAATTTACGCCGGTTTTCGACCTGACACAATCTCATTAATCGCCTCTTACGTCTGGCAGTATCGTGGAAGTATTCTTATACCCTATCCACAGGGAAAACCTCGCTCGTTCTCTAAATATTCAAATGCTAATACCACAAAAAGTAATAATATACTATTAGTGATGACCAGTTAACATTTCATTTAGACCATTTTCTATTTAGTAAAAAAAACAATAATAAGTACCAAACTTTTGAAATTTAACACTAAAATTTATCCTTGGAAGTAATTTTTTTTATAATAGACTTTGCATTTACAATAGGTTACAAAAATAGATTAAATTTTAATCTATAAATTTTTATAAAAAATTATTATTAAACGGTACAAGTTGTTATTTATTCATTAGTTATACTTGTTATTAAAATCTGTTAAAAATAAGTATTTTAAGATAACTTGACATAGTATCATAAAATGGTTATTCAAAAATAGCTAATTCATGAATTATATTTTAATTCGTTTCACATTTGTTTACATACATAAGCGTTAATTGGAGATTTATGAATTAATATTTCTTAAAATAATTAATATTACTTATGAATTTTTTTACTAATCTTAATATACCCAAAGATCATTTTTATCAAATTACAAACTCTAATGGTAAATACTTCCTTTAGAAAATTTAATTAAAATTTTAACTTGCTTCACATTAGCCTAGTCTTTGATCAATAGTTGATTATAATAAATATGTTATATACTTATTAACATTAAATGCTTATTTATATAAAATTAATACTAAATTAAAAATATTATTAATTTAAAACTAAAAAATATAAAAACTCAAAAAGCCACATAAAATTACTGAAATATCGCGGATACG